AACTTTTATATGGGTGATGTGCTTAGTGGAGCGGAATCTTTGAGTACAGCTAAGGAACTAAATCTCATTAACTGCAATACTGAAGAGTGCAGGGAATGACACTGCACAGTGGTTGCAGTAATCATGCTGAACTTGCGGAAGAAGATCACTCCTATTCCTTCCTAATGAAGCAGATCTACAACACTTGGAGTGTCTGGAAGTCTAGAAGAGACTGTTCTGGTTTTGAGTGAAACTCGATAATGACATAGTTGTTACCAAACGCAAATATTGTCCCCAATTGCAAGATTGTTGACCCGATGGTTACTAGGGCCAATCATAAGTAAAGCCAAAATATTCCTCCAACGGTTGTGGTTGTTAAAACTGAATTGGGATGAAGCACTACCAAATAAAAAGGAAGCTGATGAATGGAAGAAATTCTCTTTTGAATTGGGAGTTATAAGTAAGATAGAAGTTGAGAGGTTTAAATTCTTATTGCAGAAGTAGACCATGTGGAACTTCATGGATTTGCAGATGCTTCTGAGGTAGCATACGAAGCAACTATATATTGTAAGTCCCGTTCGGGAGATGGAGAAGTGAAGACAGCGCTAGTGACGAGTAAATCCAGAGTCTTGCCTATAAAACGAGTTACTGTTTCGAGACTGGAGCTTTGTGAGGCAGTCTTACTTGCAAGGTTATTAGTGAGAGTAATATCTGCATTAGAGATTCCTGTGAACATGGTGTATCTGTGGAGTGATTCCATGATCGTACTTTTGTGGATACAAAGGGAGCCTTAACAATTGAAGAGTTGCAAATCGAGTGGCAACAATTCAAGAGTTGACTAATGGTCATCAATGGCATCATGTGTATCAAAGGAGAATCCGAGTGACCTTATATCCCGAGGTTTGGATCCCAGTAAAACTTCTACAAAATGATACGTGGTGGAAAGGCTCTGTGTTCCTGAGAAATGACGAATATCCAAATAAAGATATACCAGTGGTATTGTGAAGGACTTTCCAGACAAACTTAAAAGCCTTAGTGACTCTAATATTTTTTATAATGTGAAAGCTAAACCTTTCATTGAGGATTTCTTAAATTTAAGTAACAGTTACACTAAAATTATTTGTGTTTTAAGTTTAATTTTTAGGTTTGTATACAACTGCAAGGGAAAGGACAACAACTGCAAGGGAAAGGACAAAGTTTCAGGTCCTCTTCAGAGTGTGGAATTAAAATTATCGGAACTTAAAACTGATTAAGATGACTCAAGATATTGAGTTTAAAAGAGAAACCTCAAACCTACAAAAGGATGGTAAGGTACCTCCAGATAATAAGGTAAGAGGTACATTTCCCCATTTTTAGATCAATGTGGAATTTTACGAGCTGGAGGCAGATTAGCTAATTGCAAGTTGAATTTTGATAGAAAATTTCCAATAATCTTGCCAAAGAATCACAAGTTGACTAATCTAATTATTATGATATTTCATAAGAAATACATGCATACTGGACCATAAGGCTTACTGTCTATTGTTAGACAAGGGTTTTGGCCCTAAAACGGGTGCAACATTTGTAGAAAAATAGTACATGAGTGTTTCGTATGTTTCATCAAAACCAGAGCCCTGTCAACAACTTATGGGTCAACTCCCTCAAGAAAGAGTCAGCTTGAATTTTCCATTCAATTTGTGTTGGAGTTGATTTTTTTGGTCCTTATTTTATAAAATACCCACATTTGAGAAAAAGGTCGCCTTAATAAGGTGTATGTGCGCATTATCATTTGTTTTGCTACCAAAGCTTGTCCATCTTGAGTTGGTAACAGACCTGTCTAGTCAAGCATTTATTGCAACCTTAAAGCGTTTTTTCAGCAGGAGAGGCAAGTGTGCACGAATATTTTCAGATAACGCAACCAATTTTGTTGGTAGTAACGCAGAATTAAAGAAATTGAATAGGCTAGTCAGCAACCAGATGAATGAATTAGGTAATTATTTATCGAGTGAGAGTATTGATTGGTCGTTTCTTTCCCCCTAGAGCTCCCAATCATGGAGGTCTTTGGGAGGGCAGGTGTCAAATCTGTATAAGTTTCATTTGAAACGCGTAGTAGGCAATTTAAACTAACCTATGAGGAGTTTCTTACAGTAATTGCTCAAATTGAAGGCATTTTGATTCTAGGCCCTGCACCTTTATCATCCGAACCAGAGGATTTTGATATCTTGACACCAGGCCACTTCCTGATAGGCAGACCTATCACGGCTATTGCAGAACCTAATATTTAAACGTTAACGATATAGATTAAAGAGCTGGCAAAAATTGACTAAAATAGTGCAAACAATTTGGAAGTATTGGAGAAATAACTATTTGAGTGCAATGCAAGAAAGAAACTAAATGGTTCTTTGAAAAAGACAATGTCAAGGTGGAACTATGGTTATTTTAAAGACGATATGTTCCTGTATGTAACTGGCCTCTTGGCAGAATGTACAGATATTCTTAGGTAAAGACAATAAGGTTAGAGTAGTTTCAGTGAAACGAAAGGAGGTATTTTTAAGATTTTAGAGATCAATTAAAAAAATTTGTCTTTTACCTATGCCAAATTAAACAAAAAGTATGTTTGTAATTAATTATTGTATTTTCTTATTATAGTAGTTGGATTTTTTGATGTTATTATTTGATATTTACAATTATTTACCTGTATTTCGTATTGTCACTCTGTGTAATTTTTTATTGTAAGATCTAATTTTGAATGATTACATCATGTCAAGGCGGGCGGTATGTTACGCCTGCGCGCGCATTTCATTACTAGCGTCGTCGCATGCGCCTTGAGCTCTTGGAGTTTGTGACATAAGATTATGAGCTAAGAGCGTGTGAGAGAATTCGTGGCTTCGAGTAGCCATGAACTATGTAAATTAATGAGAATTAAAGTGAGATATAATACAGTCCATTGTTCCTGAGTTTATTGAATTATAGTGTAGTGCCTGTGCAAAACAAATAGAACAGATAAATTTGAAAGGAAAACATCTTTGGCTGTGCTGAATAATAACATATTTGCACGTAGAAGTTAAACTATTTTATTTTGGGGCAGTGCAACAAAATTTTTCTAAATTACAGAATTTGTTAAGCAAATACTTTATACATTGCTTAGTGGCAACGCATTGCTTTTAAAATCTTGAATTAGTTAATGAAAATGTCATTGAACTCACAAAGAATGTAAAAGAAATAAAAATTTAAAAAAAAATTGGAATTAAAATTTAGTGCTCTGATGTGACCATTTTTCAAAATTTGGTTGTTCTATAATGTGAGGAACATACATACGTACAAATTCATCATTCCGACAATGATCATTTTCCCACACGAATCATACACTTTTCATATCCCAAATAAAGTTCTTTATATAAAGAACATTATTTATTCTTGCAGCAGTATCTCTTCAACTGTCATTAACCCCCAATTAATCACTTGTAAGTCACGCCTTTGGTGCAGTATCATTGGAAAATGTAAAGTACATTGTAATTATTTGCATTAATTCCTTTTTGAGCTATAAATTTAGCAGCAATGGTAATGTCTGACGCATAGTTCGGGCTTCTCATTATTAGCATCATTTCTGAATGTTATTTCATTGCAAGTTGCAATAAGTTTGTGTATTTCATTAATTTATCCCTGTTTTGAGTGGTTTTAAGGTTAGATTTCAGTTATTTGTAACGAATTCAGTGGAAGAAAATTATGTTGTTTGGAAGTGTTAAGAGAGGTTATGTAGTAGTTAAGCATGGTACCACCCAAAATGGATGTCAATGAAATAAAAAGTTTTAATAGTAGTTTCCTTAAACTTAATAGATGAGAAGGGTATGTCAGCCCATGACATATGAAAAAAGCATAGATAGATAACAGGTGATAACTTGACAGTGATAACTTCTTCATATCGGTTCTACTTTGCCACTGTATTCACCACCGGAAACAACAGCCTGCCTCCTAGCTATGAAAGGGCCCTATGACTTAATATGACTGTCCCATTCATCATCGGGTGTTTGATTACGATTCCATGCATTATTGCTTCATAGTAGATGCTGTCCAGGACTTAAATCTCACACTCTGTTAGATTCCTGCTCCCGTTATTGTCTTCAACAGCTACAACAGCTCACCACAATGGAAAGAACTACAACTACTAAGATAGGCCTCAAGGACAATAACCAGAATGGCACACAGCATTGGCTTTTGCTGCAGGATTATAAGCATTGTACTTTTCACCTCTTTAACATTGCACAGATGCAAGAGAGAATGCAAATTTCTCAGTAAGTAAAAATAAATGAAAGCAATTGGTAAGTTTCATCAATGCTTGCAAACCTTTACACACACACACACACACAAAAAAAAAAAAAAAAAAAATTTACTACATTCATTCAACAGTTACATCCATGTCAGTGTGCATGCAATCACAACGCTACACTACAATGGAGAGAACCACAGATAATGAGATAGGCCACGAGGACAATAATCGGAATGAAACACAGTTTTGACTTCTACTGTGGGATTATATAACATTGCACTTGTCACCTTTCTAACACTAGACAAATGCAAGGGGAAATGGAAATTTCTGAACTAGTAAAAATAAATAAATGATAGAAAGTGGTACATTTCATTGAGACTTACAAACCTTTATAACAAATTATGGTAATATTTTCAGTTGACACAAATTTCAGCCTAAAAACAAATAAAAGTGTACGAATTTCATGGTAAAAAGTAATCTTTTTATGCAGTATATTCATGTAGGAAATAATAAGTTTTATTTATTAATAATGTGTTGCATATTTGCAGTGTTTCTATTTCAGTCTCTCTCTCTCTCTCTTTTTTTTTTTTTTTTTTTTCCAAATCATGTTTTATTTCTTCAAATCCTTTAAAAAATGATAGATTGAGATTCTGTTGTATATCATACAAAAAAGTGAAAAAAGACTTAAAGGGCTGATCTATAAAGACTTAAAGGTTTGATCAATATCATAAGATAACAGTTAAATGTTACATAAAATAAAATCTTTCTTTTTCAGAATTTCTACAAAAGTTTGTGTCCTGTTCTGCAAAGCATTAAAGCACGGGAAGAAGGGGGAAATAAAATACGAGTTGAGCCAGTTCAGACTCCTAGGGTGTGTAAGAAACTACTTTTAGTATTTTATAAGTATAAACTAATTGAATGATGTTATATATAATTTTGTAATTTTGATAGGCTACTCCTATTCGACAAGTGACACAACCAGTGGTTTACAACAGATACGATCAAGAAAGATTTAGGAGCAAGGAAGGTAATAATAAAAATATTGCATTTTCATTTTATGCAGATTGGTTTATTTTTCAATTTTTTAGTAAAATGTTTCATTTTATGATCCATAATTAATTTTTATAATATAAAATGCTTCTTTCAAAGATAATTTTGGAAGCAAAGCATTTATATCTTGAAATATATTATGTATTATATATTTATATCTATGTTTTCATACTACAGCAGTATCTCAAAAATTATTTTTAAACTGAGAATAGTCATTAAATATTTTCATTCAAAATGAAAAGTTACCTAATGCTGCACTGGACATTTTTAGTTTGATTTATAACTTTTTTGGGGGGACAATGGGCCTTTAATTGGTAGCAGAAATAAAATATATGCTTTAATAAATTAAAAATCACTAAGTATTACAAAGATTTCATTCATACTTTTTGAATGGTGACATATGCATGTTAAACATGAAAAATGTGTATACCAAACAGCCTGTACTTATTTGAATATAAATGGTGAGAGTTAAATTTAATAATGTAACATAAATAGAGATATACAGATTGTGTGGGGAAATGCTTGAAGAGAGTGGAAATAAATGCATACACTAAAAAGAAATTTTAAACACTATTCGGTTCTTCTTTGCTCCACTTTGATAACAGCCACAGTGCACATGAGTAAGGATTTGTTGAAGGGCTGAAAATGAGATGATGGTAATATTACTCAGTAATCCTGCATCTTCTGCCTTAAATCTCTCATAGACATGGTGGGGATTTCAGGGACCATTGTAGCTCATCCTGCAGATACTTGAGAAAGTCTTCATATTCAGAGATTTTGGAGCATAGATTAGTATTCTAAACCATGCTTGTGGAGTGTTTAGCTGATGGGATGACACATTATCAGCTTGAAAAAGAATATCATTTTTTCAGAAACAACCAGTGCTGGCTGATCAACATTGAATTGTGAACAACTAGTGCTAGCTATGTTGATCAGTCAGTAGTCCAAGTTTGTTAGAGTTTTATCCGGCATGATAAGAAAACCCAATGAGCACTAAGCAACAGTGTCCCAGAAAATTGCACTGGCCTGTACAACACCTGTCTAACAAGAGGGATGCAGTGCTTCGTGCAGTTTACATCCCACATGAATTTTGCCATCCATCTTGCAAAAACTGGAATCTCAATTCATCAGTCCAGATGGTATATTTTCAGTCTTTTGTTCAATGGCAGTGTGATTTTGCTTCTTGTGGTCAGCAGCTGATGTCTTCCTGTTAGTAATGGAACTCAAGATGGCCATTGGTTGTTTTAACTAAGTTGCACCATTTGCAGGTGGCATCTTTGTGCAAATGCTAGATGAAGCACCTACATTAAATTCTTGTAATCTAATGTAATGTTGCATTTTTGTAATTAAAATGATACATTAAGTCTGTTATCCTCTTGTGCATTGGTTAGTAATTAAAGACCACATTTTGCGTGATTCAGACCAGTTTTTCCACTTTTTAGGACCTGATAGTACACCCATGCCACAGTACCGAAAACCATGCAAATCAGTTAAACAGTTGATGAGACTGAACATCTGGCCTTGAAAGCACCAGCAATTGGCCTACGATCAAACTTGCATAAATTGCTTCCTTTATCCATGATAAAAATCTTCTGCATGTGCATTTAAGCTGTAATAGTTATGTTCTGTGGCACAGTGGCTGAAAAGCCATTGGTTCCCATTGTGCTCATTTTTATAATCACATTACAGCAATGTGAAAGAATATGTCTTTTCAGTGTCCATAATGTGTGTGTATGGGAGATAAACATGGAAATCAAAATGCTGGTTTAAATTTGCAGTGGTTTCTTAACTCTCTATTTTAATTTGGATATTTCCCCTGTCTATCCTAAAAATAAGTGCATTAAATAAATCTCTAAACTGTGTCATTTCAAAGTTAATCGAGTTTGTATGATTCTTATGTAAAGTTAAGGATTCAGATGCTTGCATAAAACTTCGGCTAATAGAAATTTTAGAAGCTAAAATTAATCAATCAAAATGTGTCTAAACTAAAACTAACTCATTCTGAATCAAAATTTCATCTTGAGCATGTTGAATTTACTTTTTCACTTCGTTGCTGCCAACTTCTAAACACCTGCTGATGCTGCTTTGCGTGTATTTCAAAAATGAAATTATACCAATGTAGTAGTTTTATGTCACTGATGTGCCAAGCTATATGTGGCTGCCTGTATTAAGAATTAAAGAAATTGGTTCAACAGTCTTGATAACTGCAATTACTACTTTACAATCAACTTCAATTACTTCCAATTACTTTATTCTATCAACATTCAGATTATTTAATTTGCATATATGTGATAATATTGTTTTTAGTGATAACTTGAGGGAAGAAAGCACCCATTAATTTTCTGCTCATGGCAGGAAAGTTTTTGAGAGATGTAGGTTGCACACAAATAGGATACATAATAGAAGGATGGAAACCACAATTAGTTAAGATATTCACTGCATAATTTTATTCTTCTGACAAATGATTAAAACATTATCTTCTTTGTTTATGCAGCACAGTGGATGCAATAACAAAGAATTTGAATTGGGAGAAGAAGTAAAACTTCATTACCAGGGAGAAAAATTCAGTCTAAAGCAGGGATGTCAAACTCATAGGTACACTTGGGCCAAACAAACAAGGTTTAACTTTAGGCGGGCCGCATACAATATTTCTTCAAAAATATTCTAACATATAACAAAATGTCAAACGTTTAGCAAAAATCAATTCAAAACAGAGAAACTAATTCTATCTCACAGCGAAATAGCTACAAATCAATCACAGCATTAAGTAAACAAACAGTTCGCTAGAACTACAGCTACTACTGAGATGAGTTGTTTGTTCTCTTCTTTTATAAGCTTTATAATTAATTTCTCTAATATACTGGAAACATCTATAAATATCTGGATTTTTGTTGGATGGCAAGAGCAATTACGAGATATTTATTTATTAGGTATTAAATGCACGCGCTGTTCTATTTTTAAACCTTCCAACGCAGCTGTCTTTTTTTCAAAAATCGTCTGCGTTGCTAAGGCAACATGAAGCAAATCTAATTACATTTCTAAAATAAAAAAAAACTAAATAAATAAATAACTATGAAATCTGTAACAATATGAATTAAGTAATAATTAATAATGAAGCAAAGTGCATGCACATGTGTGCACCAATATATCGTACAAAACTATGATTGGAAAACTGAGACCATGAGTTCGGCCACATTCGGCTATCAGGGGATGTGTACAAATTCTGAGTGCACATTTCCCCCAAAAGCCGAAGGTAGCTGAACGCAAGCTACTCACACACATTTGTAATTTAAGTAGTGTGTGTCAGCTCGCTGTGAGTAATCTAACAACACTGAATAAATTATCGTTAATTACTTAGCAGTAAAATAGTAGTAATTTAATAGTAAGTAATTTTTTTCTTCGACGATATGTTATTTTATTATTATATATTATTATTTGCCGATATATTGGCCGGGCCGCAAAAATATTTGTTGTGGGCCGCGAGTTTGACATCTTTGGTATAAAGCATCGACAAACTTTACAGGCATAAAGACACACCTTGAATTCATCCACGATTACGATCCAATATCTGAGAACCTGTTAGAGTGCTATATTGGTTTAAAAAGTGAATTCTTTACCTAAAAATTAAAATTCTTATTTCTGTAATCTTAGAAATATGTTTAAGTTGCCAATTTTAATTTCGTTAAAATTTCATTTCATGTCATAAGAAGGTTAAAAAAAAAATTGTATGTAATAACCAATTGAATTGGAAACTTGCATTGGAACATTTTATTCTAAAATTATAACCCAGATTATTAAAGAAATCGGGAACATTTGAAAGTATCTCAGTATGAAGTTTTCATATGCAATGCAGATTTATCTGCTTCACTTTTAAGAACCAATGGCTGCCAGAACTTCTAAAACCAAAGTTCATCAAATGCCTCAAATTTTAACATAATAATGACCAAGATATAATCATGTGCCGAACAAATATTAATTTAGAAGTCAAACAACAAAAATCAGCGTTATATTTTCACAGGACTACAGAGTTCGTAGTGGTCCTTACAAGTGCTTATAAGTCCTTATATTTGAAATGATTAAACATTATCTTCTTTGTTTATGCAGTGTTATAGCTCTTATGTTAAAGCTCTTATTGGTGCTTACTTTTTCTCTAAAGCATTTAATTTTTTGTTTTTAGTGCTTGATTTTTGCTGTTACTTTTTTTTTAACGAACAGACATTTTTCCCTGGTACTTTTCCGTTTCGCCGGCGCAAATCTCGCCAAGCAGACTTTATTGCCAACAACATACAGTATACACATAAAAAATTTTAGTTCTAAGAATTTTTTATTTTGAAGTCATAAACATTTTAATATCGTTTCAAATTTTATAAAAAGCCAATAAATAAAGATTATAAATTTGTAAAAAGACATTAATTTAAGAATTTACTATGCTTTCATGGTTCAACATCCTGATTCGCCGGTTCATATCACCCGACCCTAAGTGATCTCATCTCACGTAAACTATGCTATAAAAAAATCTAACTCTCTTAGTAATTATCTACATTAATTTCAAGTTAAATCTTAATTTGGAATGCAAGAATTACTTCAATTCGTATGAATAGCTTACTCAGAAATTGTGTAAAACCGTAGTGCTTTGCTTCACTAATGCATTCTCATTAGAATTGATGAATTTAACCCTTGACTTAGCCTTTTCTATATTTTCGACTTCAGGTGAGCAGTTTGATTGCATACTAATTGACTTAATTACCGCGAATGGTCTTAGGGCATAAAATTGAACTATTCGGATAAAACGTCTATGTAATTAATTATATGCCAGTATTGAAAGAAACAATCAATCGGGTAAGAAATGGCTGCGATTTGTTTTGGAAATGATGCGTAAAAGGTTACCCGCGAGTATGTTCTGTTTGGCATCAGTTGTACCATTATTGGCAACTTTATCGTCTGCGCTGGCAAAATGGAAAAGTACCTAAACAACTTTTCTTCCTTATATGGAATATCAGATTTTGAATCATACTCCCAGAAATAGCTTTTCGCCCCTTTCTACACATTAACATACATTAATTTCTCTTTATTAATCAATATGACTTTGGTGCACGCGAGAACAGACAGGAGCACGTCGTTCTATTAGTCAAAGGGGTAGAAAATTCCGATACATTCCGTATTCTTTTGCTCCCACTCAATACTACACGTTTGAATTTCTATCAAGATTTTAATAATTTACATTCTTGTTCCTTGGGATCAATTCATATTCGCGTTTATTATTGATCGGTATGCTTATTTATGAGGATATGTATGAATATTTATAATAATATATTTGCAGTAACTGCTGAAGAATAGATAAACTTCAAAAATGGCCAAGTGTGTTTTAACACAGATTAGTTTTCTAAGGGATAATATTTGGAATTGCATAAATACAGTAAAAATAATCAAATAGTTTTTTTGGGGGGGGGCCAAAGCATTATACAGTACTGAAGTTAGGGGTTTTCCCCTTTCTCTGCAAAATCTTGAATATTGAAACCATTACAGTTCGCAGCAAAGCAAGCAATGGACTTTTTTAGGGGGGGTCACTTTCCAACCTGGATTGAATAGGACTAAAAGTTCTGCGGTCTACCAACACAAGCAAAGAATGATTCTATTCTGGAAATTTAATGTAATCTATTCAAAATTAGAATGAAAAACACCCCAGATTGGTAAATCTCTTTATTAATCAATATGAATATGGCAGGCGACGTGTCCTGCTCAATGATAAATATACTACATGGGTGCATGACGGAGCAAATGGTCGTTTTCCTTTATTTAGTTATTTATTCTCTGAATACTGGCACCATTCGATTCCGATTGCATAATATCACGTGCTGCGGAAGAATTAAGGCTCGCGTATTGCACAATAACATTTGCAATATTTTACAGAGATAAAAGTACCTGCTAAGCAGATTATATTTCAGTTCCATTGGGCTATTTTTTATATGATGTACATATCGAAATGTCTAAAGCATTAGTTAGCCGAAAAATCTAAAGAACGGCTACAATCTATCCCCCTCCTTCCTACTTTACCAGTTAAGCTCGACTATCCAGAATTTTCAGATATTCGACAATTTTCGAGTATCCCGGTTAGTTAAGCTTTTACTGTTAAAGGATGACTGCGTGAAGCAATTTCCCATCTTCTGATTTCAGAAAAGTTCTTTTTTTTTTTTTTTTTTTTTTTTTTTTTTTTTTTTACTTATTTTTACTGAAATTACTTTGCTTGCAATATGTCAAGGGAAAACTGTTATACAATGAAAATTTAGAAAATGTTCAGAATTTTGATTTAAGTTAAATTATTTAAATATTAACATGAGTGGGAAAATAAATTATATTTATTTTTACGTGCCAATCGAATATAATAAATATGGCTTATTATTAATTTTCTCTTATTTTGAACTAAAATTTCATCAGTAAATCTTGTAATATAATTTAGTTCTACATAGTTTTTTTTCCCCTCTCATTGTAAACTGGTTCTGTAAATTGAACTGTTATTTAAAATTATAAAAAAAAAAAAATCCGATGGTTGATTAATGCTTCTCTTAATAAATACTGAATTTCTCATAATTTAAATTGCAAGTCTAATTTTTCTTTTAAGGTTATGCAGTTGTGTATAATGTAACTAAATATGTGCTTATTTTTTTCTTAAAATGTGCTTGAAAAGTGCTTATAGATGCTTTTTATTTTTTAAATAAAATGTGACTATGAACCCTGGGACTAGTTTCGACGGTTTTACCAAACCATCATCCTCAGCTGCAAAAGCGCAAATTGGCACTTTTCCAGTTTTCCAGTGGCGCAGTTTAGAAAAAGTTATTCTGGTTTTTAGAATAGAGAGTGTTGGTTTAGTTTATTTAATTATGGCAAACCACACTAGGGCTATCTTTTTAAGGGGAGCCTTCGTGGAGGACTTTCTAAAGGAAACTGACTTGTATACACGTTACACATGGAGAAAACCATGAAAACGCCCATGCAGCCAGCCCATTCGTGGGATTTGAACCTCGGACCGAACTAACAGTGTTCAGCGACTTTACCGCTCGGCCGCTGGTGGGCTAGAATAGAGTAGGGAGTGTACTCAAATTAAAGAGAAGAATTAAGTTTTGAATCTATCTTGAATGCACGACGTTTTCACTCATTCTGATGAAGAAGATTTACCCCAGATTTTATCTGTTATAAATTCGATTGATTCGGTCATCCTGTTCACTTTTGAAACAGAATACCCTTTCTTTGCTTGGTATTCTTATATTTTGCAATGAATCTGATTTTAGCACTGCTGTTTATTGAAAACAGCAATTTTCTGTTTGTTTACCACCCCATGCTAAGTTATGTCACCCAGCTAACCAAAAAATGGCTTTTTTTGCCATTATGTGTGTTGCATTCTCAAAGTTTGTTTCTCAGAACCTTTGTTAATGAACCCAATTATTTAAGATCAGTACCATTGACAGAGGATTTTTCTTTCATGGTCATTCGTAAAGCCTTCAAGGAAGATGTTCTGCTATTAGAAATAACATTAATAACCTTGTTGTGCTTCTCTTTCATCTGCCTGCCAATTATAAAATTGGATGGATTCTCCAGACGTTCAATTTTCATTTTCTTCCCTATGAAATAAAATTGATGGTTCAGTTCTTAAAGATTCCATTTTGCATTGGGGAACTTATAGCACATCATGTCAGTGTGGTTTGAGATATATTAGCCAAACTAAAAGAATGTTAATGTTTTGTATCAAGAAACACAAATCTTAAAATTATCAACTCTTCGATAGCTAATCATAGATGGAAATTTTAGCGTAATTTTGACTTTGGGTCTGCAAAAATTTTTCTTGAATCCTTAACCCTTTTATAATTCTGTTGACTTAATATTTCAATTTCATTACTGTTTTTATCGACAGATTGCGCTACCTTCTTATATGCTTTATTGCCATAGAGTATAAATATGACTGTTGTACCAGCTACTTCCCAGTTTTGCAATTTATGTACTTCTGATGAAGAAGGGCCTGTACCTGTATGCTCTCAAAATAAATTTTCTTGACTAAATCTATGTCAAACACAAAGTTGTTGCTTTGCTAATTTTAGGTTTCACTTTGGTGTGTTTGTCTTCTGTTTTAATCAAATTATGTTATACATATAATGGACTTTTGTTACGATAGTCATTTCCATACATTAGGAGCAAAAATTACTGATTACTGAGGAAGAACAAAATTTTGTTTGTTTATTTCTAAAACTATGCACAGCTTTTACAAGTCTTTGTGGGTTATCAAAATTCTATGTAAACAGACAAAAGTTATAGGTCATAAAACAAAAACAATATTGTCAGCAATAGAATCATAGTTCATTTTTAGCAATAGTATTAGTACTAATATTTTTACAATTTTCTATAATAGTTTTGTGATCAAATTATTTTTATCTTTATAGTCGTTATAAGCAAATGTTGGGAAATTTTTTAAGACATTTTTATTTTTGTCAGTTCCTTGACTATTTGTAAGATATTGGGGGAGTTTCTTGTGTCTGCCAAATGGCATCAAGCTCCTTTCTACCTTCATTATTTAGTTTCTCATATTTTCCCATTGCATTATTCCAGTTCTTGCTACTAATTTTCATTCCCCTTCAAATAAATAAACCTTTTGAGATTTCAATATTAACTTTGTTATAAATCCCAGTATATATTTGTGGCAGCAGTGAAGTCATGCAGTTAAGCATGCCAACAGTGACACATTTTATCAAACAGATATAATTTTCATATGTCATATTCTTAATGCAAAAAACTAGCTTCTTGTCTGCATATGCATTTATTTAAAAAACTCTTATAGAAACTGAGGGATTTAAGATTGATACCATGGGTACTTATCACGGAATGACTTTGAAATCGGTGACAGAAGGCAGTCAGCCAAAACGTCCTGTTACTCCTCTGCCACAGCCTGAGAAACCTCTTCCAGTTATGAACCCTGTACGTCAGACCACTAAAAGGGGTAGGTACTTTTTTAATGAATTTCAAAATTGCTATCAAATTCTGTTTGAGGATTTTTCAAACAAATTTCCATTTTACAGTTTCAAAAACACCAATCATTATCATTCCGGCTGCGACCACATCTCTTATCACTATGTATAATGCAAAAGAGCTTTTACAAGATTTAAGGTGAGTATAATTCACAAGTATATTATTTTTTAAGATAATTCTTGTTGATATAAGATTATGCTAGTAGCTTAATAACATTGAAAATACTTTTTAGAGCAAATACCCTCTAAAAAAAGAAATGTCTCAAAGTAAGATCTAAATAACATAACTTGAAAAAAAAAAAAAAAAAAAAAAAAAAATTTTTTTTTCATTGACACCAGTAGGATATTTTTTAAGATGAAGTTAATAAAAAACTAAATCTGTTATTTGTATACATTTGGAAGAGGTTTAGACTGAGATTAAAAAAAAGCTTTAAAATATTGTTACATTCGTAATTATATCATTTCTGCATATAATTTTATTAATGCATTTTTAACTCTATGAAAATAGGTAGTTGAGCTGTTTCTGTAGTTATATCTGTACTGTAGAACGTACTGCCTTTTTTACAAGGAAATACTCTTTCAAGAGAAAAAAAGAATATGCACAGGGGTGCTGCAAGGATTTGGACTTACTCCCACACTTTTTTAATTCCTTAATGACATGCCTGAGCCATTTAGCAGTAAAATCGCAAAATATGTTGATAACACTGTTTTAATGACACAATCAAGAAAACCTCAACTGGCAATCCATTACCTGCATTTCAGCATTGATATTGTGGCACTTTGGTGCAAACATTGGAGAATAAAACTAAATGCATCCAAATGCTGTATCATTCTGTTCTGCAAGCACAAGAAATATCGACATGTCAACATTGAAATAAAAAGCTGTGACCAAATAATTTCAGTTTTAAATTCTTCCCAATACTTTGGAGTCTTGAAGAACTAAATTTAAAAAAAAAAAAAAAAAAAAAAAAAAATTGCAAACACTACAATGAAAACAACAAGGACAAACAATGAAACCGATAAGGCCTGCATGGCAGTTCCTAATCTTAGCAGAGGAAATTCAAAACTTGATATCAGAATTAATTGAACATTGTATGTATTTTTGTAAATTAACGCTGATTTTTGTTGTTTGACTTCTGAATTAGTATTGTATGTAATATTAATCAGGCCAGTATTATTCTGCCCTGCACCTGTCTTTGTTACAGTTCCCAAAATTTACAGAATGAAACTTGTTTTCTTAAAAACAAATCCACAAATGCACCTTGGTTTGCCAGAAATAACTAAATACATGAATGGGCTGGCACTAGGCATTTTCCCACACGATGCAATCTCTGTGGATCATAAATTATGCCGCCTTTCTAAATTCTGCTTCCAATGCGTGTTCTAAATTGTAAAAGTTTTGCCCTTTCTACATTTTGTTGCTCGGTGTGTTACTAAATTCTAAAAATTCTGCCATACTAGCTCTGTAACCAGACCTTACCATATATATTTCATATTTCTTCTGAATGTTCATATTACTAAAGAATTAAAATTAGCAGCTTTTTCTATATATTCTAAATGCATTAAGTTTTTTTAGATCTTTAATTAAATCCAAAAATTCTAAATTGAAAAGGCAACAGGGAAGGAAAAAACTGACTACATTAAGAGAAAGAAAATTATTCTTCAAAGATATGTACAGTTATTATTATGCAAATTACCCAGTTGTTTACAATTTCAGCCTTTACTATAATTTCCCATTTCTATTTTCTCGCCATAATGCAGATCACTTAGACAGTTTTTAAACTGAGTTTTTTGGAGTGTAAGACAAGAAAGAGTGTGTTTCTGATCTCCACTTGCTGCCTGCATTAGTTCCTGCCAGCTCTGATAATATGTAATTATTTGTCTTTGCATTACCACTGCCGACATTTGAATTTGTTATGATGATAAGAGTTACTGAGCCAGCTTAAAATTAAATTAAATTGTATAGTCTTTGACTAGTCCATATTTTTAGTTTGAATTTTACTCTTTTTGTTTAATATCACCACGAGCTGTAATTGACTTTGTAAGGATAAGAACATGCCTTTATATTCTGATGTCTATTTAAATAAGAAGTGTCTTTAAATGTTTGTCTGACTCTGTTGTTATTTTCAGATATAGCGATAATTTGCTTCACATGTGTCGGAGGGTTTTGGACTATTTAACTTTTACCAGATCAAGTAAACCCTCATAGATACATTGTGGGGAGGTTGACAGGTTAGGACATAAAACACACAGAAACTAGTGTGAACACTGGTTTGCGTATTGAGACAAATTTCTAATTGTTAGAAAAGATGCTTAAAGAGAAGCAAATCGATATAAATTAGCCAAAATGTCTGGGAAGGCTTCAAATTAAAAAGACGCATAAATATTTCGTTGAGTGTTGTTGCTACAAAATATAAATATTTTCTAGCTTTTAATGTGTATCCTAATATCGTTTAAGAATCAATTTCATAAATTACATGTATTTTAAACTGTGAAATTTAATTAGATTTTGATTTTAATAAGGCTCTTTTAACAAATATTGTTACTAATTCCGAAGACAAACAACAAAAATCAGCGTTATATTTACAAAATTTCCACATTGCAGTTTTGCAGCTGAGGATGGTGGTTCGGTAAAACCATTGAAACTAGTCCTGTGGAAATTTTGTAAATATAACGCTGATTTTTGTCGTTTGTCTTCGGAATTAGTATTTATTCGGCGTGTTATTGTGTCTTAAATATTGTTAACAAATGAATAAAATTTAATAGTAGCTATGTCAATCCATAATGACTAAGGTTGTCTAATACCTAATTTTATTACTTATAACTAACTGCTTACCCTTAAAAATTATCTCTGCATATTAAAGCGAGTTATTGCCTTTCATTAACCCTTACCGTAGTCACAAGATAAAACACAGACATGTAAAACTTATTCTTCGCATCTAGTGAGACTTAAAATAATACAAAACAACTTATCACCTCTGGTGCTTTAGTGGATTATTAGAATCTTAAAGTATATTAACTGAATTACAACCCTTAGAGCTCTACACAAAGCTACTGCACTAACTACATCAGACAGAGTCCAGCTAACTTTCAAAACCTGTCAACTGTGCTTACATCAAACCTTTCAGGTTTGTTCTGATCAGCAGGTATCTCTCTAGGCAAGCAGGAGCGGTGACAACAGCCAGTCTTTTGTTTTGAATCATGCTGATTATCATTTTACTTCTCATTTAAACGTATGCCACTTGGCATAAAATCTACTTACGATTTACTACACCTCTAGACTGAGCAAGTTATGTCACAAAATGAGACATTAAAAAAAAATCAACATAAATCTAACTATTAATTTAGAAGTCAAATAACAATCTTAATAAATCTAACTATTAGTAAAACCTAAATAAAATGTCACTTATCTTCTTTCACATATGTCCAATTATTATAGGTGTAAAATATTTAATGCTACTTTGCTACTTGATAAATTTCATAAAGTTTATTTTATTCTCAAACTTAGTAATTATGCTAATTAAGTTATGTTTAATAATAATGCATCTTACTTACAGATCTATTTTATTTTTAGGATGGTATTACAAAAGTTCAGGCATAGATAATATTTTTAATTGAGTTCTCATTTGCTCATAGGTCCTTAATTTTTCTATTAATGGTCCTTAAAAGTACTTAATTTCCGTGGTCAGAAATAGGTACACAGAAATAGTATTTTTCACAGGGTTCGTACCGAACCCTGTGAAAAATGAGTGATGCCCTCACTGGGACTCGAACCACAGACCTCTCGAATATGCACTGAGCCTGCTGACCACTACACCAGGAAGGCATGCTAAGGAGGTGGGAGAAATACCTTATAATGTTAGTAACATCACATAATCTTGCATGTGACTTGATTCATAATAGCCTTGTGAATTATGACTCAACCGTGGAGCATCCATTTACAAGACTGAGAATGATCTATCACAGTACTAAATATTAAATAATAGAAAATTGCATTTAATGATTTCAAATAATAGGAAAATTCCATTCTCCTTCCTACTCACAGTAGATGGCAGAGAAGCAGTGTCCCCCCTCTCCCTCACATTCCTGTGCAAAGCAAACATACTGCCAACTGATTATGCATAATTTCTGTTGAAAATATGTGTATATAGCATCTCATCTTCATCTTAAAGTGTGCAGAGCAGTATAGGCTGTCACCTAAATCTCACAATGAATTTTGATCATGCTGTACAGAGCAGCATAGCTTACCTCATTTTCATTAACCAGCATATATATTCTAAGCGCATATGTTTATAATAGTTTATTAATAACTATATCTACTCAAGTATTTTACATTATAGATGTTGTATCATCATATATCTATTCATAATTCCATTTATATCATCATGTGACTTGAACTTGCAAATTTTGCAAGGTCCAGTCCCTGTGCTGTATTAAACTACCTAGTTTGACAGACTGCAACTCAATTTTCAAATTCTAAAACCTGTAGGTGTAACAAAGCTTTCATATTTCTGCATGTAAATTCACATAATTAGCTCAAAGAATTAAACAATGAAATTAATGAAGCCTAAACTGTGCTAATTCCTCCCCCCCTTCTGCTAATAATTTTTACCATAATTTTTCGTGCTAAATTTCATTTTATCTGAATTTTCTCAATCTATTGTAGATGTATGTAGAACTTTTTGTGAAGATTCAACCAGTGTTTAATTATTGTTAATACTTGTGTTTAATTTTGTTTTGCATCAATATATGATATATTATGAAGTTTATTCATACAATAGTCTGTACTTTATTTTATTTCCCCCATATTTAAAAGTAATTTAATGAATGACTAAGACTGCTCAGATTTTCTCGATAAAAAATATAAGAAACTTATAAAATTAAATTAGTCAAAAAACATGAAATTTAGACTAATTTAATTAAATATTTACATACTTTATATCATAATTTCATTATAAATATCTCAGTAACCTGATGCATGCATTATAAGATAAGTTACTATCTGATTCATGCATTGTAAGATCTTATACTTTTTACGGAGAAGTCAGTTTGAGGGTTCTTTTCAAATAGCATCACTGTGCAGCATAAAATGTAGAAACAATTTTTGGATTCAAAAATTTTTTCTACATTTTATGCTGAACATTCATGGATCCCTTAAAACTCTAAGGTTTATTTCGGGGAACCCCATCCTACTTTTAAAAAATAGATCATAAGGTGATATGTAAGGTAGATCGGTATGTTACAGGTATTTTATGTAAAGATGATTAAAGAAAAGTGTTGTATTTTAATTAAAATTGATGTAATTTACTCATTAATAGCGTTAACACATGCTCTAGGTATCACCTATACTTGCATTATAAGTGCATATTACATTATAAGCTTTGCTTGTATTTTTTATACGAATTATCAAAGGTCCTGCTCTATTAATGTTATCTGCAGTCACAATTCATATTCTGCATTTAATTTTTTTTTTTTTTTTTTTTTTTTTTTTTTTTTTTGGTTGTTTGTTGTTGCCATGTACGTTGGTAAAGATTTTTCACTTAAATATGTTGTTCCAAATGGCATTAAAATGTGTAAAGCTGTGTGAGAAACTTCTAGGTTTTCTTAACTAATCTACAACCCAAAATTTAGGATGTACTCTTGCTTAAATTTAGATTTTAATGTCAAACTTGTTGATGTGCCAATAAGCTGTTCCCTTATCATATTACTCAAATGGATTTTTTATCCAGTTATACTTAGTTTTTGCTTCTGGAAAATATTCATTTATAGTTTTCTTCAATTGAAAAAGGTGCACTTTGTACTATTTGTAACACTCATCTAAATTCAATTCATTTTCCATTAACAAATCGTTCAGATTTGCATAGCATTACATATCATTCTCTTTAGCATCTGATAATGATGTTAAGTTTTTAAGCTTATCCATAACTAAATGTATCTGTATATTTTTAGTGAATAAACACTATTCAACTAGTGTGAGTTCTTTATAATTTTTTCAAATTTTGAGTTTCACTCATGGTACCCTAGAAATTAACTCACGGAACCCTGAGGTACCCTAGAACACTTAATTAAAACAATTTGTCTTTTCGCTCCTAATGTCTAAAAATGAAATTATCTTATTGTATGTAAAATTATTTTATACATTTACCTTTCCCCCCTGGCAAATTTATAATTGGTTATCCTTAATAAAATGAAAATAATCCACTGCTGCTAATGATGGCAGTATATAATGACATTCTTTTTTCAAAGTTTAAAATTTATGTAAAAATCCTCAAAAATCAAGTTTTTAGACCACCCTTTATTTAAGAGTTATTGGTTTGATGAAAGATTATCATATTTACTGTGTTTATTAATATCTGGTCATTTAAATATCTCCCATTTTTTTGTGTTCCTATCAGCTGATATTTAACTAAACATTTCTAAAGCTCTAAGTGTTTTAATAAAAAATAAAAACACATTTGTTTTTTGGATTCCTCAAATTTTGTTTGTTAGTTTTGTATTAGTTTTAAATTGTATGGTAGCTGAATTGCAATCGCTTTATAAAAACATTTTACCTTTCTTTTCTTACTAGTATAAATTAGTAGCTTATATACCATTGAAATATTCTTTGTTATGTGTGATTTTAAAAAAAATTGAGTCTTCATTGTGAGGGGCTTCAATAAAAAATAAAAAGTAGTAAAGTTAATAAAAAGATAGATTAATTTTAATTCATTTAAAATGCTTGTGTAGTTTTAATATAGTTTTTTTTATAATAAATTTAATGTAAATATAATTTTGTTTATAATGAAATTTGTCATTTAAAAATAGGTATGTTGATACAAATGAAAAGAAAGCTCAGGGTTGCAAGCGGGAAAATGAGGTTTTAATTCAGCGAAGAAAGGAGGGTGGTACTTCAGTTCCTTATCGAGTAATTGACAATCCTCAAAAATTATTAGATGATGAATGGTAAGTTTCTCTTCCATAAATAGTGATGTATTAATTATAACACTGTGGAAATTTAATGCTTACAAATTATGCTGATGTTTTAATCAGTAGACTGTACTAATTATAGAAATTATATGTAGGGAAAGAGTTGTTGCTGTATTTGTGCAAGGACCTGCCTGGCAGTTTAAAGGCTGGCCTTGGAATGGAAACCCTGTAGAAATTTTTGCAAAAAGTAAGATCTGTTTTGAAATTGTACGAGGTTAATAGTTTTTATGATATGTACATTGGATATTCTTAAAACAAATATAATTCTATGTGTATATTTTTCCAGTCAAGGCATTCCATTTAAAGTGGATTGAAATGAGACTTGATGCAAATGTGGGCAAATGGGCTGTTCATGTAATAGAATTAAATCGAAACAAGCGCCATTTAGATCGAGCAAACTTACTGAAGTTCTGGGAAATTCTTGACAAGTGAGTATATTTCCTCCCCCCTTGTTATATGTAAGCATGTACAAGTCTATTAATTAATATTTAAATGTTAATGAAATTTAACAAAAAATGATAAGAAAATTTTGTTTGAGAGCTACCTGGATGGTAATTTGCCTCTGTTTAAAAGAAATCACTGCTAACATAAGGGTAATTATTCCATGATTAGAGTTTAAAAGTTCCATGCTAGTTAGTAAGTCTTTAATCTGCTGCAACATACTCCTCAATGACCACATCTTTAAAGATTTTCTGATACAGCTTAACTTCATAACATCAGCTGACTCAAAAATGCATCCTTCAGGCAAGTTATCAAAGGCTCAGTACAGTGTAAAGGATTTAATTTTAAAAACATTCAAACCATCTTCATAGTGGTGGTAACATAAGGGCATTCATTGTTTTGCAATAAATTACTCTTTAGAGAGATAAAAACATATGTTCTTAAATGTTTGTGACTAACATAGGTTCATGAGACCGCAAGAATTTCCAGAACGAATTACTGACTGCATTTTATAGTTTTAATCTATTTTATGGTTATCATTGATGTAATTAAGGATAGAATGTGGTTATTAAAATATATTTTGACTAAACTGAGCTGTGCTTTTGAGTCTTTATGCGAGTTTATGATTAAATGTTGCTGATTTTAATGTTTTGGTCAAGTTATGAGTAGTTCTGTTCTCAACTGCCATTTGAAAAAAAATTGTAATTTGTTTACATATTGTATTACATTCTTCATGCTGTGCTCAAACTGGATTGAAATAGTCTGCAAAGAGATATTTTTATATGCGTGTTCTGTAAAGTTTTAATTTTAAAAAATATATTGAGGTATGGTGTTATTTGTAATTGAAAGCAATAATAATAACCAGTTTTTTGTGGAAGGTGAAAAACTGCAATTTGTGGTCCACCGGTATGCTTAAATGCTGAAATTCTTGTAGTAGGGATTATAATCTGCTATCTGTATGGTGGGAAATGCCCAAAGAAGAGAAAAGCAATCTGAGTAGTATGCTGAGTAGTAATCTGAATAGTATACATACCTGGGTTGCCACATAACATGCTGACATAGTGCATGATCAGGATATTTTTTTGTTTTTTTAGTAGGGGTGCAGATAATCAGAAAGTACTGAAATGTATTGGACTCTGTATTAATAATGGAGTTTGATTTTTAGGATATGCTACTTACGTATGCTGTATATTTTATTAGGATACTTTAGATTTTTATTAGGATACTTTAGATTGAGACAAGACTGTTGATTTTGATTTATTTCATCATTCTATATATTCTATCATGCACATTTCTTATAGAGAGAATAATCTTCAACTCATCTTTTTCTTTTATACAATTCAGTCTTCTGCTACATGATGTGAATAATTAGAATTTGTACATTATGTGCTTCTTAGTTTGTTGTTACAGTCTAACATTAATTCAGTCATTTTGTGTCCATATGGAATTTGAGATATGCATAACTGATCTTTGAAAACAGTATTTGTTCTGGTTGCTGTTTATTACAGATATTTTAATCTATTTCATAATATTCTTATAATTTTTGTATATTAACTGTTACATACGCGATACTGTATAATAAAATTTCTCAAAATTCTATTAATTCCTAAATTTATTAAGAGTCTTTTGGGTTTACATTTTTAAGATAATCTTTTAAATGGCTTCAGTATATTTTTTTAATCATCATAATCAATTGTATCTGTTTTTTAATAATCTCTCTTTTTTTTTTATTTTCTAGCTATATGGTGAAACATAAACCCAACCTTCGCTTTTAGAAAGTATACTTTTAAAAAACTGACTATCCTACCATCATGTTTGCCTGAAAACTAATGACTGAAACATACTTCATCAGCTTATAATCTGCCAATCCACAGAATATGTGCACATAGTGTTTTAAATGCATTGTTCTATATATGAAATCAGAATAAGTTGATTGGATACTTGCTGTGGATTACATTATATGAAAAAAGAAAAAGTCTAAGCATTTTAAAATGTGGCTCTAAAATACTTCCAGATACTGTGATGATCTAATATAATAACTTATGCTAGTCTTTTTGTTTCCCTGATGTGTTAAATGCAAAAAATTGGATTTTATTAAAATTTTAGTTGCAAGCATTCAAACATACTGTCTCCCCCCCTTTTTTCCCCTTATTGCTACTCATTCTGTTATTAAAAATGGCAACAAAACTAAGTTTAGTATATCAGTTGCAGAAACTGAAATTGAAACGTAGCAAATATATATTGATTTTCATCTCTGTAAAAACATATTGTAGTTTTTGTCAACAATAAAAAATTGTGTAATGCTATCAAAAATATTTTTTGAAACATAAATATGCTGCTATGAGATGTTGTTAAGTGTGAGAAAAATTGTTCAGTTGCAGTTTTAAATTTAGCTGCATTTCAGACTATGTTGATGTTTTTATGAAATGTTCATGTATTATATCCAGTTTAATTTCAAATTTGAAATGTTGATATTTGACATCTTCATTTGATAATTAGAATGTGCATTATGTAAACTATATATTGTTGAAAACTGTGCTGCTCTTTCTATTTGTAAAGGATTATGGCTTGTAAATAGCTTTTGTGCATATGTATTTCTAATGGCCACAATTATATTGTACAGATTGGTTTCATGTACATATGCTTAACTGTGTGAGTGATATTAAAGTATTTGTTTTAAAGTGTTTCTGTAATTTTTTTTAATTTGAGAATGAATATAAAATATTATAACCACGTAGGATTTGATTTTTTTCTGATAATTCTGAATGTGAAGTAAAATCCATTCCCATAGTCCAAATGATTTGATTTGTTTTTTGATTGGCTTTCATCAGTGATTCTGTATAGTGTAGAATAAGTCTTAGCAGTTGCAGTGGATAAATGCATTTAAGTTTTGTGATTATATTTAGAGAATGTTTTTGGGTTTCTTCAGTCTTTCTTTTTAAGTGTAGCAAATGAGTGAGATTCCAAGATTAAATAAAATAACTTAAAAACTTATTTAGTTGCTACCAGCAGGAACTAAAAAAATTGTGCTTATATTTCTGTGCCCTTATTGTATGAAAATATACCATATTAGTATTTAATATTCTTTTATTACATGATATTTGAAGAGTGAAATAATAAGTAATTCAATTTTTAAATATCATAATTTATTAAAAGTTCATTTTTTTGTAAGAAATCTAAATTTTAATCATTAATCTGCATATTATCTGCTAAATTTGATCAAAATTTATCAAATTATACGACATAACATTTTTATTTTTAATATAGTAGTCTCAGAACCCCACATACAAACTCTGAGGGGGGGGTAAAGAATATTGATATGAACTATAACACAGCAAGACTAGCAATGGATAGATGATGCTGTATTCAGGCACTGTAGGTTGGTACCTGAGGCTTCCTCGTTAAAGCTTACTGTGCCATATGCCATATTATTTTATAAATGCTGAGTCAGTGGACATGCATTTTGCATATGGGTTACCTGACAGCAATGGATGAACTGCTGTAAGAATGTATCAGAGAGATACCCAAACAGATGTTTGCACACATGCATAAAAACCTGTGCGAACATCATTCTTCTTCAAGATGTACAGTACCAAGCAGCCACATTGAGCTGAACTCCCATAACTGAAAAGAATGTTTTGCATGTGCTGGACAAGACAGGAAGAAGATATAGTCCCATCATACTGTACAGCTCTGTCCAAATTTTGATGGAGGATACCTGGGAGATAGATTTGAGAGTCTTCCACTCTTCCTTGTACTAAGTTTTTGAAAAGAACTTCAGCTGTCCAGTATTTTAAATGCCCCCATGTCGTATAGACCCCATACACTTGCAAACATCCAAACCTTCTCTGGTATTTAAATCCAGGCCCAATGGTATGGCAGTCCTCGTAGCTAACCACTATAAATCGGAATGCGTATACTATAGATGCAATCCAGGTACAAGCAAGCTTACACATTGTTGCTGTCATAATAGGACTATTTTGAGCCAGTTTGTTATTGCGACCTTGCACATATTCATCTGCATCATGTCCAGTGACTGCAGATGGAAAATTATCCATGAGATGTGGCATTATAACAAGTGATTTTTGCAGCAAAATGTGAGTGACCTGCAGTTCCCAAGTTGTGTTTTATTCATGGATGAAGTGCTCTCTTCGTATGAAAAGGTCTTTAGACATCATACCATACATTTAAGATTGGTTCCTTGAGAATCCACATGTTATGCAATTATGTGCTGAATAACACTGCTTCATTTTGGGCAGGTATCATGGATAGCTGGTCACTAATATTCATCAAACTTGTGTGTACAAAATCAAACTCCACTGCTTGCAGATAACAGAAAAGTAAATTTACAATTCAAAATGAGTTTTTAGCCGGAGACTATGTTAACCCTTCAGGGTTGTATGTTTACTCTCAGCCACCAAAGTTTTCTTACTGTTCCAGTCATATGTCTGCTGTCAGCCACCACAACAAAGAAGCATGCTGTTCTTATGTTATATTAAGCCAACAAGCTTCATGATCTTTCATTATTACTATTCGTTCAACAAAAATTAATTCCAACCAGCAAGATGCCTGTGTTTCAACTTAATATAAGTGCAAAGAATTAGGTATCTTAACTAAACCTTAAATGCCACGATTTAACTTTTTCTCGCAAATAGTGAATGCTGGAATAGTAATTTAGTATAACTGGGCAAGAGGATGTACAGCTGCCAGTATCACTATCAAAAGCTCTCATCACCTTTTTAAATAGTCGTTCCTGAACTGCATCATGGTGAGAGCTAACAAAAGGAGAAATTGTGGTATAGATCCAAATCATAAAGGTTAATTTAAACTATATAGCTACCTGGTTCTTCTGAAGGAAACTAAATTCAACCATTTTATAAAATTTTATGCTGTTTACTATTTGCCAGCAGTCTGCTGTTGGTTTAGTCCTCAATTACAGCGTGATTATGCTCCAATCCATAGGTCTTCGGCCATACAAAGATGGTTTATTGACTTTGAAGAATGGGACTGGCCTGTTCACATCCCTACAGAAACACCTAAAGGATAAACTGAAACAATGGCTGTGAGCTATGGCTTGCAACTCTACAGGCAGAACACATCACTATTCTTTAGCTACCGGAAATTTCAACTGCAAAATTCTAGTTAGTGGATAGTTTCTCTGATAGACAGGCTGCTGTAATTGTAACAAGACACCATATTAATTTCTTACTTCCTTTGCTAAGTAAGTTTAGCAATCTATTAGCAAAATATGCATTACCTGTAAACATTTCTTTGGTGATTTCTGTTGAAATCCATAGTCAGACAATATTTGCTGTCTATCATATTGAACATCCATTTTCAAAAAAACTTCAAATGGACCATGTTTGTTTTCCATCATATTGAAACCGCAGAATCTAGTTATGATGATGAATCTCTAGACTATGTTGGTTCAATATAATTTGACAATGTTCCTACAGCAAACTGCATTTTTTGCAACAGCCTTATTATCTTCATTTTTGAAATGAGTCATTTGTTTGATATCAATATAATGCCTAAGTAAAGGTTTACAATCTAAGCGGTTCTAACTCTAGAGGTTCTCAGTAACCCAAAAGCAATAATCCTGGATGTTGACATAGCTTCATATGGTGCAAATGAGCATCATCATTCATAATGTGGTTAATATTCCCACCATTTACATTTAAAATATTGATTAAATCATCTCCCAATGTAATTCTTGAATTGTACAAAATTTTTTCAGGTGCCAAACTGTGTAACAGAACATTTCTCGGTATCAATTAGAATATAGTAACACACTCATTCAACATTTTCAGGAATTCTTATTTTATACGATCTTGGAGTTTTTTCCCTGCAAAGTTATCTTTTACCCAAACTTAATTGCATTACAAAAAAAAAAAAAAAAAAAAAAAACACTCATCATGATGAATATTGGCGTGTTAGTATAATGGATAACAAAAGTGAATCAGTGAATCTAAAAAAACATGTTTGCCAACTCTATATTATATCAAAAATACAAAATTTGCAGCATATTTATAAACAACTATAAAAATCTATAATTTAATTTGTGACTTATATGATAACTCGTACAAGGGAAATTTTGCCAACTGTTTATTTAGTGAATATTATTGATCCTTTATTTTTAGTTACAGTGACTTTAGTTGTGTATGCTGTGAACTGCCTATTTAAGAATGTGAAACTTAACGAAACTAAGCCTAACTACAGTTTCGTTAAGTTCTACAGTAGCCCTACAGGCTCTCTCTCTAGAACATTCAAAATCCTCTTTTTAAATAGTCATACCTGAACTGCATCATGGTGAGGGCTAACGAAAGGAGATATTAAGGTATAGATCCAAATCATAAAAATGGGTTAATTTAAATTCTGTGTTTGCCTGGTTCTTCTGAAGGAAGCTGTAAAGATCTAATTCAATCATTTTACAAAATTTTAAAACCCTACAGACTACTGTAGGGCTTGCGATTACCTGCAAGTGGTTAAGTTTCACAACATTTGTAGAAATTAGATTCACAGTAACAGAATTTATTCATATGGGAATGGCAAAGCACATTGGGGCTACCTGCACAGTATGAGAAAGGATGACTTCATGAAAGACTTAAAGACAAACTGTCCTATACATACAAAGCACAAGAGAAATTGTAATAAATCTGGCTGTGAAGTTTTCTCTGTATAGTTAGGAGTAAGTTAATGCCTAATTTAGGAATTTAATGTTAACAAATTAATGGAATATTCTTTTATACAGTATGAAAATAAGGAAAAGTATTTCTTATTTAAGTTTCTCAATCTGTAGACTTGCTATAACAAAGATTATTTTGTTTGTTACCTCAGTTTTTTTAAAATTTGAATCACAGTAGAGGATAGTTTTGAAAGAATTATATTGAACTATCATTATCTCTAAAACATTAATATTATTGTAGATTTAAGGGAAACATTTAGTTTAACTGAAAAAATGTTTGGATTCATGGGGGAGGGCAGGGATAATATTTCATCCTAGTATTATTTTTATATCAGTGAAATAATCACCATGTAAAAGTCAATGTAATATTAATTTGCTTTCTATTTAGAAGTTTTGCTATTTTTCCGTAAATGTGAACTTGCATTTTAGAGGTAAATTTCATAAATATTTATTCCATACTTCATACATATTTTCAATGTTTTGAAAATAAAATCGTTGACCATATATGATTATTTTTGAAGATTTTACTGTAAAAATGCAAGAAAATATGGAATTCATATATAATTTATCAATACACTCACAATTATGCACTAATAGTGAAATATCTGAAAAAAATGAGGCACAAATCCTACACTAAGAAGTGTACTGAGTATATACAAGGTGGTCATTAAAAAACTTTCCTGATATATGAACCCCTAGCAACCTATCTGCTCAATGAAAAGAAATGAAATTTCAGATATTGTTTGAAGGTATGTGCTATTTAAAACAACATAATATATATTTACGTTTTAACCACTTAACTGTTTTGCTCGAGCACCGTTCGGGTGCCGCGAAAACAGATTTTTTTTATTTGCTTGTACACCAATCCACAGATTTTCTCGGATTTTTTCACATTTTTTACTTTGCAGTGTTTCTAATAGATGTCTCTAGTAGTCCAGGAGAGATTGGACTGTAAAATCTGTTCAAGGATAGGTTTCACCACTTTTCATTAGGAGAAGAAA